CATCTCCATCTCCATCTCCATCATCATCATCATCATAGCATCTACCTGCAGTTCGCCAGCAACATCATTTCCTCAACCATCGAGTTTGTTTCTTTCAGCACGTACATCCCGACTGTCAAACTTCTTCAGCTCCAGTGGGCAAGAGAAAAAAAAGTCAAAAAGACCATCGATGGGATCGTGAGTGACTGAGTCGAGCTCGAAGCGAACCTGAACTTCCATCAGCTGCTCCCTTCACACTCTCCTCTCTGATCTCTGATCTCCTCTCTCCTCTCCTCTCTCCTCTCCTCTCTCTGATATCCTCCCTCTGATCTCCTCTCTCTCTCTCTCTCCTCTCCTCTCTCCTCTCCTCTCTCTTATCTCTCCTCTCTCTCCTCTCTGATCTCCTCTCTCCTCCTCCTCCTTCTCCCCTGTTTCTCCTTCTCCTCTCCTCTCCTCTCCTCTTTCTCTCCTCCCCAATCCTCCCTTTTCCCATCATGACTACCTCCTGCCTGCTGCCTGCTGCCTGCTGCCTGCTGCCTGCTGCCTGCTGCCTGCTGCCTCCTGCCTCCTGCCTCCTCCTCTCCTCCCCCGTCCTGTCCTCTCCTTCTTTATACCTCGGGAGATGCTAACGTCAAGGCTCCAGCCGTCACTCGCTTCTGTCGAAGTTTCCTCGTCATGTCCCGCATCAGCCGAAGATCCTGATGCCAAAGTGAGACGCTCCTTGCTCCTTGCTCCTCGCTCCCTCTACCTTAGCAAGCAGTGACTGATCCTCCTCGTTGTCGATCATTTCCTAACAAGGGCGTCACCGACGTCTTTCCTCTTCGCGTCGTCGAACTCACTTGAGCTTGTCCGTACGTCATCGCAGCTACAGATTTGATGACAGACCTATATCATCATCATAAACTCCATCATCATCTCCACCATCTCCATCATCTTCATCATCGTCATCATCCCCATCATCATCATCATCATCATCCATCATCATCATCATCATCTCCATCATCGTCATCGTCCCAATCATGGTCATCATCTCAAATTTGTTCCACCTGTGAAACTTCACATCCAGTATCTCAGCAGTCTCAACGTCCAACGTCCAGATGACTGAGAAAGCAAGCCTCTCAACCTGCATCACTGTCATTATCCCTCCTCCCTCCTCTCTCTCTCCTTCCTCTCTCCTCTCTCCTCTCTCCTCTCCTCTCTCCTCTCTCCTCTCTCCTCTCTCCTCTCTCCTCTCTCCTCTCTCCTCTCTCCTCTCTCCACTCTCCTCTCTCCTCTCTCCTCTCTCCTCTCTTATTGCGATGTCAGGTCATCGGAGAGATTGCCTTCCTGCTTCCCAACTTGCGCGTGCAAGTGGATTACGTTGCGAACCAAGACTCGATGGTCTATACCCTGGACAAGGAGCAC